CTGGGACTGCACACCCTTGTGCCATCCTCAGCTGCCCTGCACATCCCACTCCATCCTTCTCCTCATGGGACTCTGCATGCCCCTAGGGGAGCTCAGGGATGGCAGCTGGGGCAGCACTGGCCCCCAAGGCTGGCAGAACAATGGTGGCAGGTCACACACAGGCTGCTCACAGCCTTGAAGACACAGCAAGGGAAGAGGCTCTGCTCCCTTTGCCTCTGGTTATCACCAAGAGGGCAGCAGCACCTGAAGCCACTGCCTCTACCTACCGGAGACTTCAGGGTGGGACTGAGGGTGCGTCCAGCATGGTGGGGAGCAGGTGGTCAAGCACGGGCCCCTGGAGATAGAGCCGAGCCTCTCACACGGTGGACACACTGTGCGTATCTTCTGATATGGCTGCCTGCCACTCAGCCAGCAGCAGCAAGCCATGGCTAAAATCGAGCTCAGTTACGCTGCCTTTGTAAGCAGCTACCTGACCGAGCTGGAGTGGAGGACAGACAAGACAACCAAATCCTCTAACTCAGCCCTAGCACACAGCAGACATTCCATCATGCATATGGTGTACCCCGTGAGCACTCAATAAATGACAATCTGGATTTTGACGAACTTGGCTGCCAATGGAAGTCCAGTGTTGTTGAGGAGAGTCAGAGGTGCCCTTTGTACCAGCCAGAGCCTACAGAAAAGGCATTCATGTGAATCAGCCGTCACCTCAGCTGATCAAGTACTGTCCCATGATCTGTCTCGCTTTCTACAGGGCGCCTGCCAAGTGCTGACCTTTAAGCCACATCTAAGACCCCACTGTGGCCACAAGATAGCCAGCAGGAACAGAAGGGCAGAGGGGTCCCGGAGGAGGGAATGCACACCCTTGGCCCCTTACTGGCTTCCAACCTGCATGTAGACCAGTGTCTCGGGCCTCAATATCATCATTGTATTAGCCAGTAGGCCATGCACGAACACATCAACGGGCCTAGCATGTGAAAATCTCACCTCCAGGAACCAAAGAACACAATAAGAAGCTTCCAGAAACCACAGACAAACTCTAAACTGGCCTAAGCTAGCAAGGCAGCCTAAGGAGCCTCAACTCAGAAGCTGCAAACTTGGCAGGGATGGACTGTCCACTCCCAGTGGGGAGTGTAGACAATGCTGGTCAGGAATCCATCATCTTGCACTCACACTGGCAAATATGTAGGTTAATTAAACGTTATGTAAACAAGGAAGCTTGAGTGCAAAAATTTGCTTACAGAAAATGTAAGAAGGCAAACTGCTGTAAGACAGTCCAATCAGGTGTGAACAAGGACATGAAACCTTTCCAGGAAGGAATTTAAAATCTAGAAGGAGAATGCTCCTCCGAATTCTTCCAAAGCCTCTTAGTTCTCACTCTGCTTGGAAGAAACAAGTAGGGTATCACAAAGGGCAGCTGCAGTAAAGCCAGAAAGACAACTTGAACACCCGACATCCAAACCACAGGGAAAGAACCAATCCTGAGTGTGCCCATCGCATAAAATACTCCAAAGCTGGGACCTTCACAACTCTCCAACTTTTCCCATCTTTCCATTACCGTGTCCCAGTCACACTGCCAGACACAGAAAATCATCTCAAATGGGTCCAACATAAACACATCTCATCATGGCACTTTCGGTAACACAATACAAACAAGTGAACGAGGCCCTAGTGGCCTACTGTTCTACTATTGAAGGCACCACACGTGTTCTCTACGGCTCCCTCATCTGTGAAAAGGCACTTCCTCTTAGCACCACCCACCCCCCAAAGACTGGACTGACATCCGCCAGTGCACACGGTACCTCCTGCAAGGCAAGGGCAGGTATCACCCCCGTCCAATGTCAACTGCATACCGGGAACCCCAGAATAAGACACGACTCAGCACCCTCGAGGTTGGAGGCCATTCTGCAGATGCCCACGGAAGAGGCAAAAGCATCATTCAAACCAAAATGGAATTGTCTTATATCTGAGCCCCTAAATCTTCCATATAAAAAGCACTCTTTGGATTACTCAGTTTGGAACCACAAGTTCCTTTAACAAGATAAGTTACCCTGAAACAAATCCATGCATGTTATTTTTAGGGGGTTCCCTTTCAAAACCAGTGAAAACAACACAGAAAAGTCAGGCCGAAGAATTAAACACACGTTAGCAACTACAAAGGTTTGGATGCTACCATTAGAACAATATTTCTTAGAAGGATTTCTTCACAAAGCTACAGATAATACAGTTTGCCAAAAGGCAAATGTAGAGATTCAGTGTCCTAATGGATACCTATAACTTGGTATAGCATTTCCAGGGGCAGCATAATTATATGACTCCAAAACACATCTTATCTTGGGACCCATGTTATGGCACTACAGCTAAAACACACACCTGCGATGCCAGCATCCCATACGGGTGCCGATTCATGTGCTGGCTATTCCACTTACAATTCAGCTCCCGGCTAATGGTCTGGGAAAAGCAACACAAGATTGCCCAAAATACTCATATGGGAGACCCTAAAGAAACTCCTGGCTCCTGGATTCAGCTTGGCTCCACCCTGGCTATCGTGGACTCGAAGCACATTGGGGATAGACAAAACCCCGACCAGAAGCAGCCATGAAAGAGCTCTGAAAGCGGTTATGACCTGCAAGTGAAAACCAACATCAACACACGTTAGGCCGTCTCAGTGTCTAACTAATTCACAAAGTAAATAAGCAAAGCAAATAAGTGCATATGCACACCTAAAAAGCTCACACACACCAGCTGGCCAAAAGAAAGTAGGAAAATATATCACCACATTTGTAATTCACCTGCTATTAAGGCACATATGACATTTAAAAAGCCAAGCAGAAACATATAGCATCCAGGTTTGCCAGCAGGCAGTGCAGTTCGCATGGACAGCAAAGTACCCTGAAAACATCTGGAAGTAACTGCCAGCTGAAATTACCAAACGGTTAAGGCTGCTGAATGGACCACATGCTGTTACAACCCCTTTTCCCCTTCCCTGCCCATCCCTGTCTGCCCAGGGACTGAATCAGGACATGGCGCAGGATTACAGCACAAGGAACTTTTGGCTGACCAAGAAGACTCCCACAACTGAGAAACTGGTTGATGAAAAGCTGGCTATTATTACTTGTTTCACTCTTAAATTGACTCTATGACTGGATTTATATTTACTTGAAAGACACACACACACACACACACACACACACACACTCCCAGTCTACTGCTTCATTCTCCAACTAGCCACACTGGGCTCTCTCGGCAGGTGGCAGGCTGCCTCCCAGGGGCTGAATTAGCAGGAAGTTGGAGTCCTGGGACAGTTAGGAATGAGGTGAAGGATGCCCTAATCTCTATCCCATAAGGCTTGATGTAATCTGGATTCTTTCTAGAAATGCATGTTCGCCTCTGAGGTGGGCCTGCGAAGAAACGCTGGGGTTATGCTAAGCTAACACAGGGCAAAGAGAGAGATCAGGAAGACGTGATCATCACACAATTTGTCAACAGAGAAAGTCCAGGAAGAGTCCAATCAACAAAACACCAACTCCCCTTTATTAAGGCTCGTCGTGGATATTACAACCCCCCAGCCACTGGAACACACTCACCAGTGTTCCAAGAGCTGCCCGAAGCTACGGCCTTTCCCACATCTGGGGCCACCTCTCCCTGTCGACACACTTCTCTCGGGGGACCTGCAGGTGCATCTGGGAACACACTGTCATCCAAACATCCCAGCATGGCCCTAGAAGCACAATCCAGAAGCCACACGCTTCTTGGAGCAGGGGGAGGCAACCCATTGAATAATGAAAACAGTTCTAATAACTTAGAAAAGAGAAACAAGGATGGAAAGGAAAGCCTTGAACATGTCTAACTGGGATTGTAGCTGGAGTCAAATGTCACAGCTAAGGCCAATGTCAAAATTCGCTCTCAGCAGCGACCTCTGCTTGAGAATTCCTTGACTATTTCAGCACAACCTGACATTTCACTCAAGCTCAACAGCCAATGCTTTGACCTCTAGAGATGCTGTCGGACCGAGTGATTCAAATGCTAGAGTCTTCCCACCATGGCAGAATTATACACAGTGCAAATATCATGCACCGTCGATCTTTAACTGGTCACAACTAGAGGAATAAGGTCGTGTTTTCTAAAATAAAGATTCCGACAGCACAACAACTTATTTTTTCCTTCTTTGAAACACATTCCATATAAAGTCATTGGAAAACATTAATAGTTTCTCGCTTAAACCTGCACCCATAGACCACCCTCCTCCCTGTAACAGTTCCCAAGGTGGCAGAGGGTGTGTGAGAAGACAGGTTACAAGCTTTGGAAACCAAAAAACTGAGGCTCTCCAGGGAAGGCCTTGTGCCTACAACGGACACAGTGAAGTCTGTACAAGGAAGCTGCAATCATCATCATCATTATCATCATCATCATCTTCATCATCTCAAGAGGAACTTCCTCCCTGCCAAGGGCCCAAGTGACTGCCCCTGCCAACTTTTGGAAGCACTGGGCCACATCCTGGGGCCCTCGGAGTCAATGCCTTCCCAGCTGCTAAAAGGCGTTTGCTACCCGCACAGGTCCCACAGGTTCTGCCTTCTCCTACCAGATCGCATACATTGGCAAGAGGTCCCCCACCCCCTCAGAACCGGAAAACATTCAGCACAAAGTCTCCTCCAGACGGTGCAATGCGTGAGGCTGATGGGGCCAGGCAAAGGCAACACACAGCACAGGGGAGCGGGCTGGGCAGTACCACGGCCAAGGATGCTCAAGTCTGCCCGCGGGACGACGGCGGCAAGTGAACACACAGAAGGTCCAGCTACCCATCACGGAGCAGCAGCAGCAGGGACTGAGGGAGACTTGAACAACTGTTAGGCACACGGATACCAGAAAACTGAAACTAAAGACAGCGTGCAAGGAGTCCTTGGAGGAATAAGGCCAAGAGGCAGGTCCGGTCTCCACCGCCCCACCGACACGCCAGCGCACTCACACTGCACACACCAAACAGCCGTGGAGCCCACACCTACCTTGGCCCCGGGCGCGTTCCTGCTGCTCAGCAGTTCGCACAGGCCGGCTGTGGCGTTTCCTGCAGCCCCAGGGAGGAAAACTGGGGAGCCCGGGGCGCTGCCGGCCGCACCCCCGCCTGCAAGCACTGGGGCCGCACTGGGACTGGAGCCAGGGCGCGCGGGCGGGCTGCTGCCAGGACTCACGCCCGCGCGCGGCCGCTGCCGGATGCCGTCCAGGAGACGCACCAGCAAGATGTTGGCCGGCAGCTCGTCCACGCCGCAACCCACCAGGATGCGACACTCAGGGCATCGTAGCTCGTGTCGCGAGCACACGATGCTCTCCAGGCAGCGGCGGCAGAAGGTGTGCTGGCACGGCAGCACCTTGGCCGTGGTGTCCAGGCGCTCCAGGCACACGGAGCATTCCAGCAGGTCCAGCAGAGAAGACTCGTCCATGTTCTCGCCCGCGGCCGCGGCCGCTGCCCGCCGCCGCCGCCGCTCGCCTGGGCTGTCCTCGTCGCCCTCGCTCTGCGCAGCAGCGGCGGCCGCCTTGGACGCACACAACCAGGACGCTCCGAGCAGCATGAAGGAGGCGCCGGGAGCGACCGCGCGCGGTTAGGTCCTGGAACCGGCCAGGGGTCCGCCGCAGGCAGCGGGCATCAAGACCGTGCCCGAGTGGGGGGTGGGAGGGACCGCCGCGGCTTCTCTCGACCCGACTGGCAGCTCCAAGTGCCAGGCCACTCGGCCTGCGTGGCGGGGACAGGAGTTCCGTGAGCCAAAAGCCAACTCCGGGTCGGGCGAGCTCGCCCAGTCCTTCTGAGTGCGGCGCCTGAGGCTGCAGGCTACACCTGTCCCGCCACGCGTCAGGCGTATGCTCAGCGGGCTCCGCGCTCCGGGTAATCGCAAACCGCAAATAACCCAGCCGAAGGAAGCAAACCCAGTGGCCGGCCAGGTCCCCGGGGAGGCCGGGGCGCGGCGTGCGCGCTCCCCCGCGCCGCTGGCCAGCCGAGCCGCCTCCGCGGCGCCTCCATGCGCCTCTGGCCTGCACGCGAGTCGCTGCCCACACCAGGTCAGCCGGACCGCTCCTCTTCCTTGGCCGAGCAAGTGTGCGGGGAGGGCTCCTCGGAGGTCACGGTCGCAGTAGAGCCCAGGGGAAGGAAGGAGGCGCCGCACCCGCTGGACTTCCCTTTGCCTGGGCGCACGCACGCACGCCTGAGATTGGCCCTGCTTCTTGGGCCACCTCCGGGACTCCCGGGGACGCCTCCCACGCACACTGGGCGCAGTCACCTCCCGGCGCCCGAGTCTTCTCGGGGGTCTCCACGGGCCTCAGAGAGGGACGCCTCTTCCAATGCCGCTAAAGGACGAAAGTTTGAGCAGCCTTATCCCGACTACTGCCTTCGCCGTGGCCGGCTGGCAGCTCCTCCGTCACACAGCCGACGCCCGGGCATCCTCCCCAGACGAGCCACCCGTGCACTCCTGGCCCCGTCCTCGCTCCAGGCAGGGCGCATAAGTGACAGCCCTGGAGCTGCGGGTGTGGGCGTGGGGACAGCCGTGAGTCTGGCAACGAGGGCGCTCTGGTTGGCCGGGACGCCCGGGGAGGTGGGGGGGGGAGGTCCTGCTGCTCCCGGCTCCTCCCCGGGCTTGGGGGTTGGGGGGAGCCCGCCTTCGCCAGAGTCGTAGGTCCAAGGTTAGCGCCGCTGCCCACCGCGCCCGCAGCCTTTCGCCGGCCCCCTGCTCGGTACCGCGCCGCGCCCTTGGCGGCGCAGCGCCTTCCCGGCGCGGTGTCACGAACCCCCGTTCCAGTTTTTCCTCAGGAGACGCAGAGGCGGGGGAATTGGCGCTCTGGTTCCTGACGCCCCGGCTTCTGCGAGCGTCAGAGCAACGGAAGTACGTACGGGAGGCCCGGGAGCCGCAGGGAAGTTTTGCTGGTGGGCTGGGGTCGGCGACGCAGATTCCCTGCCGCGCGCTGCCCTCTCGTGGCTGCTCCGTGTCCCCGGCGCGGCGCGCGCACACGCCACGGGCGGGACGCTTCCTGCCGGGGCGAGCCGCGAGCCATTCTGTGGTTTGAGAAGTGAAATGGAACTTCTTTTGTTTCCCCCAAGGAGACGGCTCCATCTGCCAGTGCTTAAATGCCTAGAATATAGGTATGTGTCATTCTGCTCAATTGTCTAAAGGCCTGGTGAAATTATTGTTCTATCTCCTGTTTTACCGGTGACAAAGATGCAGCTCATACTTATGCAGCCATTTAGGGCTCGGGTTTCACTCTTAGAGTCCCCAGGACCTAGCACAGGGTGCTCATAGGCCATTCGATTATAAGCCTTTATAAGCTATGTGTGTGCACCGTATAGCCTCAAAGCCAAGGGCAGTGCCCGGGACTAGTGGGTCCTGGATATCCTGGATACGTGGTTTGTTCAGGAAGGCCTTGGTGGCCTGGCATAGTGGTCATCGGAAACCAAATCTCATGAACTCAGTTCGCACATCATGAGCTCACTTTAGACTGGACATTCTGCTCCCAATAACTGCAGGTGGCCCTCTCAGCCTTCCTCCCGGTGTGGGGGTGTTCCCTCCTCCACTCGCACACACGGCAGCAGTGTGAAGGGGGGGCATCCCTGAGCTGCCTGGTTGCTGGGGCACACTGAGTGACTGCACCCCATCCCAAGGCCCATTCTCAGGGAAGTGGGAATGATGGGCCCCTTGGGCACAGTGAGCGCTCCCGGAGAGGAGGGCTGCGGCTGGCAGGGCTGGAGGGTGTTAGCGGCAACGGAGCCGGGACTAAGGAGGCTAAGAACTGTGCCCTGGGCACACAGACAGAGCAATGAGCCTTGCCCTCTGCGACTCCTCATCGTGATTCATTCCTTCTCTGTCTGGCACCAGCTGCCTCTGCTTCCCAGCCCACAGGACAGAAAACATGGTCGAGGCTCCCACACCATCAGCGCTGACCACAGTCTCATCTCATGCTGTCTTGGGCCACGAATCCCATATTCGTATCACCAAGCCGTGCCCCAGTGTTGCCCTTGCCGCAGAAGCAGCAGCATTGCAACCCAACAGTGCACGCAGGAGAGGCATGCCCTTCGGAGTGCCAGGTGCCAACACCAAAGCCCAGGAGCACAGTTCTGCCCCCTAGCAGCCCTTGTGGTACACACAACAAACCAAGTAAGAGTTCACACGGGAGCCCTCAACTCTGCCTTGCCCCCACTGAGTCCCTGCAGCTCCTGCAGAACTCAAGCCCTGGGCAGGGATCGGCTAACGCAGCTGAGAGGAAGGGCATGTCTGTACCTTCAGAAGGAGCTTTGACTCAGCCACAACTAAGCCCTGCTCCATCTTCCGACCATTTCAAAGAAGTTGGAAGTCCCACTTTTGACATGACGTCTCCTGGTGTCCAAGTCAGTTTCAAAAAAAAAAAAAAAAAAACCCACTGGCCAAACAAAATAAATGTGTGCCAAATTGGCCCACAGGCCACCAGCTTGCAATCAATTTCTGGCTGGAATAACCAAGTGTAATATTCTACAATGTCAGGGAATTTAAGGGTGTGATCGAAATAGTTGAAGTATTACAACTGCAGTCTCATGTTACTCAGTTCTATTTGCACATGCTCAATAAGCCAATTATGTAAGTCAGGGACAGAGGAGCTGGCTTAACAGCCTTTCACAGCGAAAGACCTGGGGAATTCAGTCAACCACAAGTGCGCTGGGAGCCAAAGTGAGTCACCAGTGTAATATGGCTGCCTAGAAAAGTGATGAAATTTTAAGATGCCTTCATGGAAGAGAATGGGGTTGGGTCTGGAAAGAAATAACCTCATTGCACCTAGGGCTTATCAGGCTTCATTTGCAACGTTAATTCCAATTCCAGATATCAGAAATGAATGGCGTGGTGGTAGAATGTTTGGAGTCCTTGCACGTGAATTCTGGATGAAGGAGCAGGGAAGGCGCCAAGGAAACAAGATGCGGTGACTGAGCGTCAACTCTGGCTGCCCCAGGTTTGAACTCCTTAAAGCTGGCAGGTTCGCCACATGGTGGTAATCTGATGTTTGCTTTCCTAGCTAAGGTACAGGCATCTGACTCAAGCTATCAAAAGATGTCACCTTGCCCACCACACTCTGTGAGAGGAGAGGGAGGAAGGCAGGTGGCCAGTGGCAATTCCCACAGCCCAGTGCCCACTTGTCAAATATAGCAACATCCTGGGCAAATGCAGGCTTTCTGGGCCCCAGGCACCTGGATGTAGCTGTGATGGGGAGCCCGAGCCGTGGCCTCTGCTGCACTGCCAACCTCCCTATCGACCTGAGGGCCTCCTGACTGTGCAAGTTCCTTTCCTGTTGAAAACCAGCCAGAGCTAGTTTCTGTTGTTCGCAACCAGAAACCCTGACACCCATGGCCCTTCAGAATGGGACCATTGTCCCTCCACTTATGATCACACTGGAGACTGGATTCCTTGGTCTATAAGCTGGAAGGACTCAGAGCTCCATTCATTCATCATTTCTTTCCTGTGTTCTACCTCAAGCACCGGGGAGAAAGGAGCCAAGGGCAGAGAGAGAAGGTCTCCCCTCTGTCGGTTCACTCCCTCTAGGCTGCAATGGTCAGAGTTGAGCCCGTCTGAACCCAGGAGCCACTGCTTCCCCAGGCCGTGAGCAGAGAGCTGGATTGGAAGTAGAGCAACTACAACATGAACCAGAGCCCATGTAGGATGCTGGGGCTGCAAGGAGAAGCCTTGACCTACTATACCATGGAGCCTACTACACCTCAGGGGCCTGCATCTAAGATCTCCCCATCCCCACATCTACACCGCACCTCACTGTGCTTTTGGCAGTTTTCTGGCAAGAGTGGAACCCTCTGAGTGTCCTCTGTGCTACCCTCAGCTGTCTTGTGACCTCCACTGGAGTGCGGCTCATGTGTGCTCAACCCCTGCCCCTGTCTCCAGTCGCACACAGTGAGGTTGCACCTGCTCCCTGAAGCCCAGCGCCACTGCAGGCAGAGACGCCTCTCTGCCTTCCACACTTTCTAGGCCTGCGGCATGCTGTGCGCCTGTAAGTAAAAACACTAACAGCCTCTTCCATCTTCTAGGCTACTTCCTCCAGGAAGCTTTCCTGACTTCTCTTAGGAATCATTTGATTCTGATTTCCCCATGTCTTTCGTGAGCTGACTTTATTAATTTTTGTTTTCAATAAGAGAGAGGTCTTCCACATGCTGTTTCATTCCCAAATGGCCACAACAACCACACCTGGATGGGTCCAAAGCCAAGAGCCAGGAATTCCTCTGGGTCTCCCCTAGGGGTGCCATCTTTTGCTGCCTTCCCAAGGAGCTGGATCAGAAGTAGAGCAGCTGGAATTTCAACTTGCACCCATATGGGATGCTGGTACCACAGGTGTAGGCTTAGCCTGATATGCCATGTCACTGGCCTCCTCTATTTTTAATGTTTTTTTTTAGCCCCTAGCAACCCACAAGCTCCTCAAGGGCAAAGACTGTGTGCTATTGGTCATCAAAGTTCACAAAGAAACGCCGTCAGCAAAGCAGATGTTTGATAAACAGCTATCACATCAGACTAACCTGAGTTTATAGAGTCATTCCATGATTGTTAAAGAACATATGGGA